ATCGCATGCCGCACTTAGTTCATTCAGGCATTTATAACTGTTACTCACCCCATCAAAACAATATCTGCCAATATATGGCAATAAATGTCCATCCCACACTTTTATATGTACATTCATATCACCTATCAAAAGTGCCATAAATAGCCATGCGTTCGTTGAAGTCATCCAAAAGATACTCCAGGACTCGTTCCATCTGTCTAATTGTACTAAACGGTTTTAGTGCGATTAGAATTAGTTTTGATATACAGTAGAGTCCCCTATAAGACGGGTACCTATAATTACGATTCCTATAAGACGGCGAAAAAATTGTGGCAGTATCCGTAAACAACAGTGAAAAAAATTCCTATAATTACGTAAAACTTCATCGAGCAGCCGAACTACTTTCTGCTGTCCAGCGCTACGCTACAGACAGTTTAGGCGGGTAAATTGAGTTTAGTATCGTCTGTACATATAATTATATGTAAATTATGTATAAATTAGGTACTGTATATATAATTATCCGTAAACAACGGTAAAAAAAATTCCTATAATTACGTAAAACTTCATCGGGCAGCCGAACTACTTTCCGCCGTCTAGCGCTACGCTACAGACAGTTTAGGCGAACTATCGTCTGGACAGTATGTAAATTAGGTACCGTAAGTCTAATACAGTTGTGGGAGTAGCCAAGGGTATAAGTAAATTACCTATATCACTTACTGGCGCACGATCGTGTGATCGGCTCTCTAAACTTTTTATAGGAGGGCGATAATCGCTATATGATCCGAACGGCTAAGTTCGGATGCTCGTCAAGTTCCCGACACCAGTTTGTCAATTTATCGTTGCGCGGACAAACACGCGTTTGCGATNATATTAACTTAATTTATAGTAACTTTATTATAACTATATATATACTTTTCGCCGTCTAGCTTCACGCTACGGAGAGTTTAGGCGAGCTATCGTCTTACAGTATGTAAATTAGGTACCGTAAGTCTAATACAGTACTGTAATTTTATACATTTCTTGTGAAAAAAACATTTCTTATTCAACGGCCATAAAAATTATTTATATTAATGATGTCGCCAAAGTTCAACGAAGTTTTCTCAGAAAAATAACATCAGAAATCTCGGCCGCGGTTTGCTGCGCTGTTCCGCGACGAAAACAAGCTTGAGCAACGGCGATGTCGAATGGTGCACACTCGGTAAGTAATCCTACAATTCTTTGTTTATAGCGTATTTATACGGATTATTCCCCCCAAAAATATACGTATTTTGGAAATGTTGAGTCGAATTAGTCTAGAATCGATTAATTTTATGGAAGAAAACCTTTCAAACAGCCGTAGTCCCTAAACTTCACACGTGTCGGGCTGTAATTGGCTGTGGTTCCTACAGAATTGATTCATAAAAAACGGAACGTATCTACCGTCTTATAGGGGGATCGACTGTATATACGAATTTTTTCTAGCTAAACATCGTACAATTTCATTTCGTAATTCAGTCTGCGAGAAATGCCTGCAGATCACTAAGTGATACATGGGTTATGCTTTTAAAAATAACGGTTATGAACCTGAAACATTATAAAAATAAATTTCATTAAATTAGAGAAACTGGTTTTCAAATTTCTGAAACGATGCTTATTTATTTATTAACAATCATGTTTCTTTTACGTATGAATTAACGATCATCTTTCTCTATATTTGATTTAAACTTAATTTATGTGAGAATGAATATTTAAATTCAATACGTGAAATGTAATGTAATAAATCATGCTCTTCTGTCGAATTATATTTTTCTGTATAAATTTCAAAAGCGATAATTACTTTTCCATATGTTTTAGCATTGATTTAGTAATAAATATTAATAAATAATTTAATTTTTTGAATATTGTAATGATAAATTTCTTTTTATGTATTAGAAATATATATATATGTGTGTGTGTGTGTGTTACTGTGAAAGACCGAAATTAGAGAATGTCGATATTCTCCAGTGAATGTCGACACATCGGTGAAAGACCGAATATTTGGTTACATTATTATACATTCGAACAATTGCTGGTGTATGTTGACAAGCACAGATAAGCTTTGGTGGAGGTCGAAGAAATTGTTAATAGTTTTGAAGAAAATTTAATCAGTGGCCATTACGAATACCATATTTAATAAAAAAAACAAAATATTGAAAAAATACTGCAACCCACCACGTCTTCATATCAAGCCCTGACTGAACAACACGAAGTTATTTGTACAAAAAGAGCGGCCGCGAAAGAGAATTTTCTACTGCAAGCAACGAAAATTTTACGAACCTCAAAAAGAAAATTTCCTTTCGCTGAAATTGGTGATACCGTACGAATACAAGTCCCTGAAGTCGACCGTGGCCGTATAGATGCCCGAAATGTTGTTGGAATAGAAGACTCCGACTTTTATAAATTAGCAAAAAATGGTACCCTCAAGCAGCTTTATATTCGCAATCAGTTCGTAATTTGTAAAGAAAAGTTACTTTCCATAGATCAGATTTCTTCTCAAGAAATATCGCTGAGACATTTCTTGAGAAGAAATCTGAATAGATAATCTGAATAGTGAATCTGAAATAATTGGAAAAGTGGAGGCCAAGCCTATACACGCTGTCATTGCAAAAAGAAGTGTTCCGCGAATATATGCAGTTGTAAAAGCAAGGGACTTTTGTGATATTCAAAGTGCTATAACAGTTTAAGTTGTTGCAATAAATAAGATTGTATAACGTTAATCACATTATTTATGTGTAAGTTTATTATTGTATTATTTTCTTTTATGATTTAGAATNCCTTATTGTTAAAATAAAATTAATTTAATTCAAATTTATAAAAACATTTAATAATTAATACAGAAACTCTGGCTTATTGTTAAAATAAAATTAATTTAATTTAAATTTGTAATTAGAAAATTAATTTTGTGATCAGTATGTGTCAAACCACTACTACTGTTGGGTTTTAAAATAATCGGGTAATTACACTATTCTAAGCACTTAAAGTTCGACATAAACCAATTAAAACGATTATGTAATTACAATTTTTGTAATAACTCAGAATATATTTTCTTCATAATTGGAGTTATTACAAAAATTGTAACTATATGCAAATAACATAGATACTCGTAACTACCACTACAGGGCCAGAATCAGTTTTTAAAAAGTGAATATAAATAATGGTGTGAAGAATTCTTTGTGGTTTTAATTGAAAAAGTGTCAGAACGTACAAGTGAAGGCTGACATTTGATCTTTTTTAACATTGTGAAGTTTTCTACTAAATTTTTACCTGTGTTTAAGAAGTGTTCTTCAAAGCACTTTTAAAACTGTTACTTCCGTGGTGGTATATAAGGGATAAAGATAGACTCGAAAAGTTAATTAGATTTTTAGATTATGATTGTAATTATTTCTACTACTCGGTTTTTAAAAACAACGTGTAGAAAAGATTAATTCTATAATCGTGGAAATGCTGTTTCACACGACAGGAGTATTTTTTTATACATTTAATTGAATGCCAAAGTTTTATTTTTCCTTTTCTCGAATGTCAGAACAAACTGCCAATCTATCAATTACGTGAATGGACAAAATTCTCTGCATCATAATTACAGTTTTAAAATATTTATAAATGATTTTTACTTTGTAACTATAATTTAAATTTGGTTTACTTAAATGAAGTTAATTTAAAATTTTTATTTATTCAATATTAAAGTATATATAAATGATTATTATTAATGTATATATAATTACATTACAAATTTCTAGTTTATTAACTGGATACGTTTTNAGTATATATATATATATATATATATATATATATATACACTACTAGATGATCCAGGCATTGCTCAGACATAAAATAACAGCAAAAATTAAATTATTAGAATATTTCGCACTTCTAACCCTTCTACTATATTATAGTATTTGATTTATATTTACAAATGTTATCTAACGAAAGAGTTTATCGCGCCGATAGACCAATCTTATAAATTTGAATTTTTTTTAAAAATTGCGTACAGGAGAGGAATAAGGGATTTTTAAATTGTGTTAGATCGGTCATTCTGAGTAATAAACTCTTACGTAAGATAACCTTTATAGTTATATGGCCGATCTTACCCGTTTTCAACAAGTTCAAGAATTAAGTACCCCTCTTCCGAAACTAATAAGAGAATTTTTACATGGGTCTAAAAATGTGTATGGTTTCTACCAAAAACGCAAAAAACTGCATTTTTAATATTATAGTAGAAGCCGAGTTCTTTAGGGTAATCCTTAACTCACTTCCTCTTCCACGCGGGGAGAATTTTCAAAAATTCTTACTTAGTGTGCATTTTCATCGCGTACCCTACTAAAACGCCGTCTAAAAACACAGAAACATCGTATCTAAAATAGCATAGTGTAGCTGAATTTTTTCAGGGTAAGCTTAATTTTTTTACTCCCCGTGAGGGGGGGAAGATTTTGAAAAATATTTTCTAAGTGTTCATTTTCTTGACGGACTCTAACTGTGTTCCAGATTTCAACTTTTAACTGTTAACCGTTTTAGCTCTGCGCTTATTATGTTCGGTTAGTGAGTTATACATGGTTGGCACTGGTGGCTGTGTACTATGCCTGCCCAGAGTCAAGGCATAGTAGCCAAAACAAGAAAAAATTAAAGAAGTGTCTCAATGTGTGTCTGTATTCAGTAATTTCTTAACAGTATGACATGTGTTCAATATAGTGGCCTTCTGTACAGTAATGTATGTATTTCTATTCAATTGTAATGTTCCCAGGCTTTTGTGTACTATGTGTGGTACGACACCTGTAGTGGAGAGAACGACAGGTTCAATATGCACCCTGTCCATTTTTCACAGATCTTATTTTTTGGGTGAGTTCTGTATACTTGCTGATTTTTTTAGTTCATGTGTTTTGTATATTGTGAGTATTTGGAATGCATGTATTATTATTATTATTATTATTATTATTATTATTATTATTATTATCAACTCATCTCGATCATATTAAAGATATATATATTGATTGATATTTTTATTTTAGGGATGTTCTCTTATTTGTGGCATATGTGTCCTTCAAGCAATCCTCTATCCTTACATACTCATACTGACATCTTTCCTTTCAATGATATTCTATGCTTTTTGGACATTGTTCAGCCGAGTGTTGAAAAGCCTAAAACATATAGAAGGGAAATGTAAGTACTTTCAGTAAACTGCAGTTTATTGTTTTAACTTTATCGCATGCAGAATATTGGTAATATAATAGTATAAGTTTTAAAATAATCGGGTAATTACACTATTCTAAGGACTTAAAATTCGACAGAAACCAATCAAAACGATTATGTAATTATTTCGACTACTCGGTTTTTAAAAACCACGTGTAGAAGCGATTAATTATATAATCGTGGAAATGCTTTTTCACACGACAGGAATATTTTTACATACATTTAATTTAATGCAGAAGATTTATTTTTTCTTTTCTCGAATGTCAGAACAAACTGCCAATCTATCAATTATGTGAATGGACAAAATTCTCTGTATTATCATTACAGTTTTAAAATATTTATGAATGATTTTTACTTTGTAAATATAATTTAAATTTGGTTTTTTAAATGAAGTTAATTTACAATTTTTATTTATTTAATATTAAAGTTTGTATAAATGATTATTAAATAAATATATATGATTACATAACAAATTTTTACTTTATTAACTGGATAAATTTTACTAATCATGAAACACTATGTTTTGTAAACACTAGGAAACAAGTTAAATATAGAAATTAATTTACAGTCAAACAACCCATTGAACTGCATGAAATGAAATTTTTCACTCACACTTTACGTATCTGTCACACAATCTCTTAGCATTGCCAATGAGGATGGGTAATCTCTAAAAACTTGACAAATCTGGATACGTAGATGGTCGTTCATGCTGAATGTTACAGATTATATTTCGGTCTCCTGAAAAGAATGACAACGGCAGTTGCTTTATACTAAAACAACATGGGTAGCTCTCCATCTTACTCGATTTTGACAACATCCTAAGGCTATAAATAATACAGTTTTGTAATGCTGTAGCACAACTCTGCCTTCTGATAGAAAAAATTTCGTCATAGAAATTAAACAATAACACTCTCTCACAAGAAAGCAGATCCATACTATTTTCAGTATGAAAAGAAGCTTCCACGAAAGCTTAAAAATTCTTTATAGACTAAATTCTGCACGTTTTGATGTTTACATTCCGTAAGTCATCCATTTACATAACATCTGAAAACCAGATATTGCACTTTTTTCCACGAAAGAATCATCATGCTAATTTTTCCTGCTTGAAATGTCTTGTTGGAATATTTTTTGAAAGTCTTTAATTTGTCTATAAAAGACTATTTTTAGCAATTTCCAGACAGTCCCATAGAAGATACCATTTTAATTCATTACTTCCTTCAAAGCTCTTTTGTCCATACGAGGATGATGTCATTGAACATCTTTGCGTTTAGACATTGCAATGGCAATCGCAGTTATTGAGCATATCCATGGCTTTCCATTTGGTGGCCGAACTGGTAACAAACCGTCTGCTTTAAATTTTGTAATAATTATCTTCACTGCAGGAACAATTATTGGGCTTTACCACGCTGCACATCTTTCAGTAGACATGAAGATCGTAAATTCGGTATTATTGTAATAATATTTTTCGAACATCTTTTTACGTGGTAATAACACTTAGCAGCGAAAAGTCGTTACTTGCAAGTCGTGTGATACTTAATACTATCACCTGTTTAATAATTTAACACATGATAATGATATTTCCAAACTAAGAACATATTACTCTAGGGTCAATATTTTATTCTGAAACAATAGTATGTGCATGTATTATTGTTGTGTTTATATATATATATGTATATGAGGAGAACACGGAACAAATGTTTCCTTTTTAACTGTTAGTTCCTGAGAGTTATCGTTATCTTTCCTAAGACTAAATATCTCATTAGATAAGACTTCTGTCATTGTGACATCTCGTCAGATGGTCAAAATACATAATTCTCATTAAAAGAGAATTTTAGAGTAAAAACAGTTCAACCGCCAAACTCAGGGTGCATAAGTTTAAAGAAGTCGCCATATTGATTTTGTGTCTGATTCCAACTTCCGCCTCCCGAGGACATATGTATAAATGAGTTATTATGCTAATATTTATTGTAAACTCTCTCAACATATAGCAATATCATTTTAATTAATTAAGTGAATGCGCTTTAAGTTACTTTCTATATATCCATTTATTTTCGAACTTTTATTTGTTTACTAAATATTTTTTTATTTGTAAAATTGGAATTGAATGCTTATCTTGATTAATTATTCCTATTGCCCTATTGTCGGATCTATTGCACTCTCCACTCGTAACTAATTGCCCTCCTTTAATCCATCCATAGACAGTCTGAGCAAGTTTCACAAACTTGTCGCCGTTAAACGTTCGATTTATTGTCCTAATCGAACTCGGTTCCTCACATATACAGTACTATATAACATTTTTAAACGATATCGGCAAATTGTATTTAAACTAAGAGATATTAAAAATTAATAAATTATATGTTCGCAGCTGGCTTTATATACTCTTGAANTAAAATTTTTATTTATTCAATATTAAAGTATATATAAATGATTATTATTAATGTATATATAATTACATTACAAATTTCTAGTTTATTAACTGGATACGTTTTACTAGTCATGAAACACTATGTTTAGTAAACACTAGGAAACAAGTTAAATGTAAAAATTAATTTACAGTCAAACAACCTATCGAACTGCATGAAATGAAATTTTTCACTCACACTTTACATATCTCTCACACAATCTTTTAGCATTGCCAATGATGATGGGAAATCTCTAAAAACTTGTCAAATCTGGAGACGTAGATGGTCATTCATGCTGAATGTAAAAGATTATATCTCGATCTGCTGAAAACAATGACAGTTGTTTTATACTAAAACAACATGGGTAGCTGTCAATCTTACACGATTTTGACAACATCTAGGGCTATAAATAATACAGTTTTGTAACACTGTCGCACAACTCTGCCTTGTGATATTAAAAATTTCGTCATAGAAATCAAATAATAACACTCTCTCACAAGAAAGCAGATCCATACTACTTTCAGTATGAAACGAAGCTACCATGAAAGCTTAAAAATTGTTTATAGACTAAATTCTGCATGTTTTGATGTTTATATTCGGTACGTCATCCATTTACATATCATCTGAAAACCAGATATTGCATTTTTTAATTCCACGAAAGAATCATCATGCATGTTCTTCCTGCTTGAAATATCCGGTTAGAAATTTTTTGAAAGTGTTTAATTTGTCTACAAAGGACTATTCTTAGCAATTTTTAGACAGTCCCATAGAAGATACCATTTTGATGCATTACTTCCTTCAAAGCTCTCTTGTGAATATTAGGATGATGTCATTAAACATTTTTGCCTTTAAACATTGCAATGGCAGTCGCAGTTATAGAGCATATCCATGGCTTTCCACTCGATGGCCGAACTGGTAACAAACCGTTTGCTTCAAATTTTATAATAATTATTTTCACTGCAGGAACAATTATTGGGCTTTACCACGCTGCACATCTTTCAGTCGACATAAAGATCGTAAATTCGGTGTTATTGTAATAATATTTTTCTAACATCTTTTTATGTAGTAATAACACTTATCAGCAAAAAGTCGTTACATGCAAGTCGTGTGATACTTATTACTATCATTTATTTAATAGTTAAACACATGATAATGATATTTCCAAACTAAGAACACATTACTCTATGGTCAATATTTCATTCTGAAAGTCTGCAACAATAATGTGTGAATGTATTATTGTTGTGTTTATATATACAGGCCTGCCGCAAGCGGGCGTGCAAGGTGTGCACCACATGCGGGCAGCACGTCCAGGGGCGGCAAATCGAGCTATCGGTCACGTAATATTCAAAGTCATTGTCATAATACCCACCCTACTTATAGCATAAGAAATGTCTTCACATGGAGAAAAAAATCCGACTGGCGCGTAATTACTACAGTATATACTTATTTATATTATAGCGTTAACAGCGCCTCTATTGGCATTTATCAAAATTAAGATGTAATGCCAAACGTCTGTCGGCAGGTCAAACCATCCTGCGGCGCCCGAAAGCCAAATACCCATAGCGTGCTCTATGACAGAAGTTAAGAGGACTGGCGAAAATAGGGAATCCCCACAGAGCTTCCTTCTCAATTTGTACTTGTACGCATTGGAACAGTTCTATCACATATCAAATTGCAATTATTTTGTTAATAATTCTTCCGACATGGGTCTAAGTATAATTGATGATATTTTAACTTGATTAGGATTTAAATCTGAAGCTTAAAGACGATTCGAGTAGTTTGACTGTACAGTATTGATTTGTTTAATGAAATTAATACAGTAGAGCCTCGAAAACTCGGCACTCGATAACCCGTCACTCCGAATAACTCGGCCACACCTTGGCAGGGCAAAAATTCCCTTAGATAATTAATTTTCATCATAGACAGCTTTATGCCTCATAAAGTATTTTTCTGAGGTCTGTCTTATCAGGTAAATTACTGTAGAGTATTCATTAATTTTCATTTTCATGTAGTAAAGGCTCTATGCCTTCATAAAGGACGCAATTTTCCTTTGTTTAAGGGTATTTGGGCAGTTTGTTATTTATTGTATTCTCAAGCAAACAATACATACAAGTACAGTACAATATTTTCTGAGGAAACACGCATACTTATCCTTTTTTAACTCCATTCCCGATAACCCGGCATTTTTACAAACTCGGCGACCGTTCGGTCGATATTAGGCCGAGTTTTCGAGGCTCTACTCTACTTTCAAGTTGCATTTTCCAGAAAACTAGTCTAATGATCCACAAACCCTATCACAATATCTTTTTACTAATGACTTAATTTTAACATTTCCGAACACAGCAATAGCACTAAGAATATTACTTACATTGCCGGTTTCAGTTGCATTTGGTGAAACGTTTTTTTTTCAAAGTTAAAAATTATAAAAAACTATTTAAGATCAACAATGCACCAGCAAAGGCTAAGTAATTTAGCTGTAGTTTCAATTAAACACGAAATCTTAGACAGCTTGGATACAAGAAAATTGATAGCAGATTTCGCAAACATAAAGCCAAGAAGAGTTCAATTTTTGTAGATAAATATTTATATGGTGGGTTTTACACTTAAGTAAACAAAAATAACTTAGTAATAATAAATAGTTTTTCTTTAAAAAGTATTTCTTTTCTTTTCTCACACCTTTATGAGACAACACTAAAGAGCCTTTCTGGCAAGCTCGGCGTAAGTAGTCGTAGTTAAACAGGGGGCGGCATAATTGGTATTGCATACGGGTGTTCAAACAGCCAGCGGCGCCCCTGTATATATATATATATATATATAGGCATATGTGTGTGTGTGTGTGAAAATTTGAATATTTAATTCGTATTTTTATAAAAGTTTAAATTAATATAATATTTCGATTTTAAATTCGAAACGTTTATTTTATACAAAAGTCGAGGAGAACACGGAACAAATGTTTTTTTTTTTTTGACTGTTAGTCCCTGAGAGAGATCGTTCTCTTTCCTACTACTAAATATCTCACTAAATAAGACTCATCCTGACATCCCGTCAGATTGTCAAAATACATAATTCTCATTGGAAGAGAATATTAGTATAAAAACAGTTCAACCGCCAAACTCAGTGTGCATAAGTTTAAAGAAGTCGCCATATTGATTTTGTGTCTGATCTCTAGTTCCCAACTTTTGCCTCTCGAAAACATATGTGTAAATGAGTTATTATGCTAATATTTATTGTAAATTCTCTCAATATATAGCAATAGCATTTTAATTAATTAAGTGAATGCGCTTTAAGTTACTTTCTATATATCCATTTATTTTTAAATTTTATTTGTTTATTAAACATCTTTTAATTGTAAAATTGGAATTGAATGCTTATCTTGATTATTTATCGAATGCCCTATTGTCGTAACCATCGCACTCCCCACTCGTTACTAATTCCCTCATTTAAGCCATCCATTGACAGTGTGAGCAAGTTTCACCAACTTCCCGCCGTTAAACGTTCGATTTATTGTCCTAATCGAAACCGGTTCCTCACATATACAGTCCTATATAACATTTTTAAATGATATTGGCAGATTGTATTTAAATTAAGAGATATTAAAAATTAATAAATTATATCTTTGCAGCTGGCTTAATATACTCTTGAATGTAAAGTGTATTTTTTTACATAATAATTACTTTCTTAAAAATAATAAGCAAATATTTGTTGCACTTAAGATATTTTCGCTTAAATAATTGAATTATATATAGATATTTCTTTTAATAGCGAGAAGTCCAGTATTTTCTCATCTGAGTGTATCTCTTTACGGACTTACAACCATTAGGGCATTCCACGCTGAAAATAAATTCAAGTCTTTGTTTAATAAGTATCAGGATAAGCACACTGCAACTTGGTTCCTTTTCGTGGGTTTAAATCGATGGATGTCCTTATACGGTCAAATCGTATGTTACATAAACTTAATTATAACTGTTACTATTTTCACCGTTTCAATTGATGCAGGTGAGTGAATATATTTAAATTCATCATGTCAATAATATAAATAACTGTGAATTTATAATTGCCACTTTAGAAGATGCAGGAAGCCAAATTGGACTTGTTATCAATCATGGAATATTAATATTTTTGTATTTTCAAAACATCATCAGGAACACATCTGATGTGGAATTTCAGGTAATAATTATAAACAAACATGATGATTAATTAAAATTTCTTATGAAAACCAGATTTTTTTACCTGGATAAATCGAATTTTTCGAAAAAAATAAATTTGTTGTAAGAGAGTTTCTTATTACGAGTTACTTATACAGAACACATTTTCTTAGTATTGTGCGAAATATATTTTATCAGAATAAGGCTCGATAAGAGAAAATGGCTGTTGTTTTGATACTTGAGGTATTGTATATTTTAAAATCTTATTAATCATTTAGTTAATAATTAGTAAGTATATTTTATACAAAACAGTATTAAATCATTAGTATTTAAAGAACAGATTATCATTTTAAAAAGTACCGAAAACATTTCATTTTTAGGGCATTCATACTTATTTTTCGAAGAAATTTTTATCAAAAATAAAATTTTTTTAATATGACTTAAAATCACATAATAATGAATTTCACAGTACAATATTAACTTTAAATATTTTTCTAGAAACTGCCAATTTTTAGCCAAAAATAAAAGTGAAAAATATCCCAATCTGAAGCGAAACAAGTTTTAAAAAAATTTTTAGTGAGGTAATTCTATATAACTGCCTGTTTACAATTTTTTCATTTCGTTTCCACTATAAAGCGATTTGAAATCTTTCGTCTCATTCAAATCTTTTACTTTTACGACCTTATTGTATTAATCTGGAATAAATAATGTATACGAAAAGTAATTTTATCACAATGTACTGAAACAATTACAACATTTTAATCACATTTCTTACCACATTATGCATAATTTATTTAGTGTTATATTTATAAACATATTTATTTAATATCTGTAAGACAGTATTTTAATCAGATAAAACACTTTGTTTTCTGAAAACGAATATATTCTTTATTTATTTATGTAGTACAGTATGTTTTTATTTTTTAAAAAATAAATTGATTATTGTGTGCATCTAAATGTTCTGTTTCTGCATTTTTTTCATAATTTATTATAATTTTTTTCTTTTCAATTTTTCTTATTTAATGTGTATTCAAAATATTGCTTCAGATATCCCTGAAGTCATTTTTTTATTTCCCTGTAACTCATTGTTCTATTCTACTAACATACAGCTTTACTTATCTAGATTGTTCAATCATTAATATAAAGAGCAGACTCTAAATCTGAATATACAGTGTGACTTTATCTCGTGACTTATCAAACAATTTACTAATCGTGAGTGGAAAATACCTGGCACTGTTGACATTCAAAAGTTACACTTGGAATATGAAATCATTTCCTGCTGAATTTAATTCAAAGCAAGCTTGTACTTTGTCTTTTATAGAATAAAATTTGTAGTGATGTTAACAACACAGAAAACTTACGAAATATAATTAATTATTGTGCAATATAAATGTAACCAGAAAATAGATTTCAAGAAAATTATCAGAATAGATCGTGCATGTACAGTACAATGCCATCTGTTCAGTTATATAGATTACTTGCTTTCAAAAATACTACTCGTTAAGATATTCTTGGATTCGCAGTTAACTAAAACATTGAGGAGACCGGTAAAACAGTTCTTTCAAATCACCCCGTAATCAATTTTCTTCCAATTATTTTAATTATACAGGAAATTGTAAATTATTTCTTTTAAGAAAAAAATACCTAAAATTGTTATAAGTATACTGTTTATGAGAAACTTGTGCAAATGCAATGTTTGTGTTTGCACTAGTGTAATATCTATAAAAGTGAAAACATTTTGTTATTTAAAATTAACCTTTGTTTATTTATTGTGATTAAATTTACTGCATAAAACAGCAGAATTTTGAATAACGAAAGATGTTAATATATGTTATTGTAGACTAACAGTTTCATTGTTTTTTAATAGATAAAAATTATATCTTTCTACTTACAAATTTCACTGTCTAATGTTACAAAAATATTGTATAAAAGATGTACGTATTTTAGTATATTATTAATAATTTTAAAGTTTTATTCCACATACATTCAATAAGGTTATAACAAATAAATTTTTTAATTTTAAAAGCGATTTAAAAATCTGTGTATAAACAAAGTGAAAACGTCGCAAAAAGTAAAAAAGTAATTCTTATTCTGATTAATCTCTGTTTCAAAATTGGCCGTTTAGCAGAAATGTTGAAACATTTATACAGTTCTCTGTAATTGTTTTAGATATTTACAGTAATCTGATAGGAAAATTAAGTTTCTTAACGAAACATTGGTGTCAATTGTTATTCGATAAAGAATAAGAAATTTTCGAAAAATGAAAAGGAAATGTTTAAAGGTTACAGAGTAAATACAGAAATAGTAAAAAACTTTTTCACTTCTAAAAAGTTATAAATTTTTACAAGTAATATACGCATATTTCAAGAAAAACATTAAACTTGCAGTAAACGTTAGCATTTAGTAGATTATACTGGTTTAACAACAATAAAAATAATTTCACACGAAAACAACTTAATATAAACAACTTTTACTGCACTTGTTCCTATAAAAATATTTCTGTCGTTAGTTTAATAAATATACATTTTATATATACTGTATCTCCGGACAATAAATATTGTTACTTCATTCTTTGTTTTATTTCATAGAACTTTATTTTTTCAGATGAATTCTGTTAAACGCATACTGAACTACAGCAAATTAAAATCAGAGGCATCATACGAAAGTTTGCCTAATAAACGGCCACCCTCAAACTGGCCACAAAGAGGAGAAATTCATTTCGATAATGTTTCTTTAAAATATTCCAAAGATAAAAATATTGTTTTAAACAACTTGACCTTTCGTATTCGCTCGGGAGAAAAGGTAAAACATTTCTAATTCAAACAGAGTTGCTTATAATTATTATGTTAAATGGTTTCTATTATAAATTAATTGCAGATAGGAATTGTCGGGAGAACAGGAGCAGGAAAAGTGAAAAATATCCCAATCTGAAGCGAAACANACAACGACATGGCTTTTTGTACTGCTGAAATGCACGATTTTCTGTATGATGCATGAAAATATGCGACTAATCAGTCATCATATTCTGAAACCCAAATATTTAAGGACTTGAATAGTTCTAATGAGGCCTATGACAACGCTTTTCATACTATCACATACTTACCGCTGCCATGAACAAAACATGTAAGAATAAGTCAAAACCTCATATGGTTGATATTATATATGCATTTTTTCATCAGCCTGGTACAGGTGATAACTGAAATTTATCTAATCACTCAATTTAAAACTACACTGAAGAAGTCCAGTTTTTATAATTTCTGCACAAGGAAAGGAATAATGCCGAACCTTGCGCTTTAAGTACTAGCATGAATGCAACTTGATTTCAGAAGGAAACGACATGCACCGTGCACCACATTGTTGCTTTGCTAGATAGTTTCTGCCACTCCAAGTCATCGATCATATATGGGTGGCCACTATGCGCTTACTGATATGTTTATCTGTACAATTTGCTTATTGGTGGGCACTGATATGTTCATCAATACTGTATATTTTGATACAATTTCTTTTAAGAATCTTGGAATCGTTGCTACTTAAGAAATTAAATGACTGACAATGCATCCACGATCAAATTTTGTAATAGCGGCACATTTAATCGTTTTCATTGATTGTGGCATTGTTGAAAACGACACATGTCTGTCTATTCAAGTTAAGGCCGACGATATACACTTCTGTAGTTACTATGGTATGAAAAAATCACATTTGTCAGTTAAGGTAATGATCTGTAATTTGTTAATGTTTCAAATATGGCGATGACATATCAATTAAATGTTCAGTCTTACACAAAATGAAAAAAAAAAAACAAATGGAAGTTTGTTCATTAGCTTATACTATAACAAAATGTTATAACAATTTTTACAAAGACGGTGGCATATAACATAGTGGAGGTTACAAGAAACAAAAACATGTGGTAATTTTTAATATTTTATTATCTAGTACTACGCTGGTCTAACAATTGTCAAATTAATGACAAATTACTGAATTACTAAAAATAAAAAACTGATAACAAAAATTACGTGAACGAACTAATTTCATGGCAATTATTTCCAAAATATAAAATTCAATTATACCAAAATCGGTTTAATTAAGTGAAAAAGACAATTACAACACTGCTAATGCGTTACGAATACAGGCACCGTGTGTCTTTCACGATAACTTTTGATAAAACAGATTTTAATATTTACTTATGTCATAATTCGATGCATTTAATTTCGTATAAGAACGAATTTTAAAGTCGAACAATTAATAAGTACCTGAGTATTTTTTCAGGATCCAATGTTATTTACCGGTCCTCTTCGCAGGAACATCGATCCTTTTAATGAATATTCGGAAGATCAGCTATGGCAGGCATTNAAATGCTATTGTAAAAAATTTTCTAGTGACGTTTAAATACTATACAGGGTGTATCAGAACGACGTTTTAAAAATTTGGGGGATTGTAGAGGATGAAATTTTGAACGTTTTGATATGAGAAACCTATAGCTGGAAAAGTGATAGAACGTTTCTACAGCACTTTGCACGTTCTATGCGATCGGTATGTTGCACTGGCATTCCCTCGAGCTTCACCATAACACAAATGCATATTAGCAAGTTCTCCAAATGTGTAGTTACCCTCCAAGAAGCCAGAACGTATCCACAGTACGTAAAGCACGATAAGCGGACAACTGTACACTGACTCACATTGACTAGCTGTGTGTTTACAGCACAGCGCCAGTGGATGCAAGGGGGTGACCTGAAGAACGACAGGCACTAAGTACACGACGTCCTGTACACAGGCTCAGTTAGACCACTGTAGTTGTGTGTTTACAGTCTTACATCCGCAGCAATAGCATGACGTTAATGGACGGAAGGATAGCTACCAAAGTGAAGGGCGGTCAAGCACTTCCTACCGCTGTAGACACTTTAGTTCAAATTTCCAGCTATAGGTTCCTTATATCAAAACNGGCCAAATCCGAAACAGCGGAAGCAATCATAGACTTCGTAAAAAACGTCGAAAACACAACTTCGAGAAAGGTCAAACAAATCAGATCTGATAACGGCGGAGAATTCCTTAACGAAAACCTAAGGACATTTTTAAATGACAAGGGTATTAACCATTAACTGACTAATTACTACTCCCCTGCTCAAAACGGAGTGGCAGAAAAGGCTAACAGAACTCTTCTCGAGGGTACTACAGCGTTACTGATAGAAGCGGAACTGCCAAAAAACTTTTGGGCTGAGGCAATGAACTGCTTCACTTATGTACGTAACCGGACACCCACCCAAAATGACATGAAAAGGACCCCCGAGGAATTGTTCTCCGGAAGAAAACCCACTATAGGACATCTAAAGGTATTCGGCTGTAAGGCATATTATTGGATTCCCAAAATGAGGCGAAGTAAACTTGACTCAAAGGCAGAACTAGGAATCTTCGTGGGATACTCATCCTGTAGGAAAGCGTACCGAATATTCGACCCTACCACTATGACTGTAATCGAGTCACGTGATGTAAAATTCCTAGAAAACCAAAGGGGCAAAGACCTTCAAAACCAAGCAAATCCAACGCAGGACTATACCCTAATCGATATAGAGAGAGAGTACACTGATTCAACTCCTACAGCTCAGGATATAGAGGATACAGAAGTCACAAATTCCGATAACGAAATCGAGACAGGCTACGACCTAAATGAACCTACAGAGGAAAATCTCTCTCCAATAGAAGAAAAAAGACCCAGACCACCTCTAAATTTCTATTACGAACCACCTCTAAGTGACTCCGATGTNAAGTCATCGATCATATATGGGTGGCCACTATGCGCTTACTGATATGTTTATCTGTACAATTTGCTTATTGGTGGGCACTGATATGTTCATCAATACTGTATATTTTGATACAATTTCTTTTAAGAATCTTGGAATCGTTGCTACTTAAGAAATTAAATGACTGACAATGCATCCACGATCAAATTTTGTAATAGCGGCACATTTAATCGTTTTCATTGATTGTGGCATTGTTGAAAACGACACATGTCTGTCTATTCAAGTTAAGGCCGACGATATACACTTCTGTAATTACTATGGTATGAAAAAATCACATTTGTCAGTTAAGGTAATGATCTGTAATTTGTTAATGTTTCAAATATTGCGATGACATATCAATTAAATGTTCAGTCTTACACAAAATGAAAAAAAAAAAACAAATGGAAGTTTGTTCATTAGCTTATACTATAACAAAATGTTATAACAATTTTTACAAAGACGGTGGCATATAACATAGTGGAGGTTACAAGAAACAAAAACATGTGGTAATTTTTAATATTTTATTATCTAGTACTACGCTGGTCTAACAATTGTCAAATTAATGACAAATTACTGAATTACTAAAAATAAAAAACTGATAACAAAAATTACGTGAACGAACTAATTTCATGGCAATTATTTCCAAAATATAAAATTCAATTATACCAAAATCGGTTTAATTAAGTGAAAAAGACAATTATAACACTGCTAATGCGTTACGAATACAGGCACCGTGTGTCTTTCACGATAACTTTTGATAAAACAGATTTGAATATTTACTTATGTCATAATTCGATGCATTTAATTTCGTATAAGAACGAATTTTAAAGTCGAACAATTAATAAGTATCTGAGTATTTTTTCAGGATCCAATGTTATTTACCGGTCCTCTTCGCAGGAACATCGATCCTTTTAATGAATATTCGGAAGATCAGCTATGGCAGGCATTAGAACAGGTTAGAAGTAATTATAAATATTACAATTTACTGCTTGTCATTCGTCTTTAATACTTTTAATGAATAATCACAATTTTCATTTATACAATTTAAAAATGTTTTAATTAAAGGTACAATTAAAAGAAGTTATCAATAAATTGCCCGGGGGATTGGATACACATTTATCAGAAGGAGGGCGAAATTTCAGCGTGGGAGAAAGACAATTAATTTGTCTTGCCAGAACGATTCTTCGCCGGAATAAAATTCTCGTCATGGACGAAGCGACATCCAATATAGATAAAAGGTTAAAATAAACAAAATTAAAATTATGTAAATTTAAGTATAAATTATTTGACTTTCTAATTCGTTTTGCGTAGAGTTTCTCTTACAATAATCTCTAAATTAAGAATTTATAAATAATTCGTGATAACTCACATATTAATATTTATCAACTGTCTGATTATGCGATATTTTTCATTTCGTACATAGAGATTGGCTGTAATGTTGGTTGACACAGATAAAGATGAGATAGATAGACGTTTCATATAATAATTATTAGATTGATAATAAGGCAATGTGGACGATAGACTGAGTGGTTAGAAACCTTTCTATTGCTCTGAGTATCGAAAAACAAATTCGGGTGTATTCACAGAGATATATTATGCGAAGTAATTCCAAAATATCATGAATAGCATTTTTCACTTTTTTATTGTCCGCATTACATGAACCTACGACGAGTTAAAAAAAGAATGTTTTGTAGTCCACGGGACGTAAAGAACGAAGTTCAAATGATATCGATATTGAGATTCATAATCTATTTCAGACATGGGCAAATGAAGCTTCGAGAGCCGCATGCGGCTTTTGCTGACAGTGTTAATTTCTGCTTTTTATTACTATTTTTACAATTTTATTTTCACAATTTTGTGAAAATATTAGAGATGCCACGAATATTCGGCTACTATTCGGTATTCGGCCTATTCGGCTACTTTTTTTAATATTCGGTATTCGGCCGAATAGTACGCAACATTCGGCCGAATACCGAATACCAAATCATGAAAAAAAAACCACACATATTACTCAAAAATGTATTTATTTTAATCAAAAATTATTACATTTAATACTTAAAATCTATCAGTGGTAAGTTGTAATGAATGAAAACAATTTTTTCAGCATTTGTTGATTGCAAACTGTTGCACTTTTCCTCATAAACTATACCTGCTTCTGAAAATAGCCTCTCACTATATACACTACTGCTGAAAGACGATAGATAAATCTTAGTGAATTCTGTCAGGCTTGGATACTGTTTTGCGTTTGCTGACCACCACTTGTAAAGGTCTGCCGTCCGATCTAGGCGAACAGTTTTCATATAAAGTGATACAGTGATATTTTTTAGTAATAATTAGTAATGCAATTTGATGTAACAATGAACAAATAATGCATGTTGTGACATGATCTACTCGCAAATAAAACAAATGTGCCCGCAGTGTCGCCACCGCACCCACCGTAATGTATCAGGTCGTGACATATCACCCGCGAAATGTACACATATTTTGCCGAACATTCGGCCGCCGAATATTCGGCGGTTCGGCCAAGAGCATAGCCGAATATTCGGTATTCGGTATTCGGCAAAATCACTATTCGTGGCATCACTAGAAAATATGTTTATTGAAAAAATAATATTTGTTTTCTATTATATTTATATTATATAATAATATCGCGGTACATAACTGCGGTACAAAATAAAAAAGTACAGAACTGCGGCTTTCATGCATTTTGCAAAACCTACATTTCGGCTTCTACTGAACTCTTGCTTGCCCACTCACGACCTATTTTAAAGGTAATATTAAATACATGTATTCGTGACATCGATGTCCTGTAGGAAGATGCAATGATGTAAGAATGTATTTTAATTAAGGATTTTTGGTCTGAATGGTTGGTGTTGTGATTAACAGCTATGGTTTGAAATATTTTTCTGTCTATTTGATGTTTGCTTTTTTTCTTTTAGATTTTTTAAACATAATTTAATATGTTTAAATGTAAAGGTTTGTAATTGCAAAAGAAAAACATAACGAATAAATCAAAACATTTATCTTTTGCCATTAATAACCCAACCAATTAAAGAGCTGAAGTCAAAACAAGATTAGGCCTAAACATAGGTTCACGGGAGTCTCTATTTCAACCTAATCAGTAAAGGATTTGTTCCGTCTTGCTTTATCAATAGATGGAACACACGATCCGACTAAATCTGTGCATATTCATGTAATGTTATTGTGTTTACTGTTATATATAACAGGATTGCAAACGATGACAAAAGACTACTTATTTTTGAACTATATATACAGTACATGGGCATTCTCGTTACAATCGCTAGTCTCGAGGAAATGAGAGTTGTTACTCGAATCTTCGATCACACTAATTGATATTGAAATAAGAGTTTGTTATTGAATCAGTGCTGCCACCACATTTTAGATTCTTTCACAGGTAGCTTTATAGTTATAACAAATACACGATCGTAGCCAATTACGAGATAGCGTAACAAACAAGCCTAATAAATTTATCTGAGTTTTATTCACCTGTCTAACACCTGAAATATAAGAATGTTAAAATTTGTTAACAGCATTGATCCAGTAACTGCATCTTATAGTCATATCAAACAAAAACATCTGGCAGAGTCTTGTTTACAACTATAGAGTTCCGGTGTAAATATTCCACGAAAATAAATAGTCTTTTGTCACTATTATTCGCCGTGTTATATAGATTAAGAAACATAGAAACATTATACGAATGCACACAGATTTAGTTGTATCCACATGTTCCAGTCATAGTTAAACCCAGACAGGAAGAAATCTACTTCTGATCAATGTTTTTTTCATAAGGCAATTTATTTGGCAAACCTATCACAAGTTGCATTCCGTTTAATTAATGCAGCGCAATTTATTATCCATAATTTGTGAAATTCAATACCAAGAAATCTCTCATAGCAACTGTATATTTTGTTTATTACACGCGGTCTGCGGCTGCTTCAAAATTTCTTAATATAAAATTTTAAAGTTACATTTTCTATTTTTATTTTTATTGTTTGCGATTCATACTAATGCTAATACTTAAATTCGATATCTAAAACAGTTTTCTATTTGTTTTATATTTAGCACCGATTCCCGTATTCAAAAAGTAATTCGAGAAAAGTTCAAATCTTGTACAGTGCTGACAATAGCCCATAGATTACACACAGTCATCGATTCTGATAGAGTTCTGGTAAGAATTTTCTATTTCTAGTATAAAATAAATAAGAGTTTTTAATAAAACATTTGAAATTTTTAGGTAATAGACACAGGAAGACTACAAGAATTCGACTCGCCGTATGCATTACTCAAGAACGTAAATGGTACTTTTTATAATTTGATAAAGAACACGGGAGTAACTTCAATGAATGAGTTATACAAAATTGCAAAAAATAGATATTATCTTAAAGAAAGTACAGAAATTACTAAATTATAAAACAATGGATTGTCTTCGACATTCACCTATCTTTTGTATATTCGTGTTAAGATTTTTGTTTAAAATTCTGTTTCTAGAAATATCTCTCACTACTACTATTTACTCGTACGTAAAACATAGAATTGTTAAAAGCTTAATAGTAGTTGTTTGTACTTCTGTTAGATTTTTGCTCTTTATATTAATCATGAAATATAAGTACATATAAATTATAAATTACTTATTATGTAGTTAATGCCTATTGTAATAATAAAAGCTAGTATACTTGGCACGAAATGGCACCTATGACTGCAGTTGTTACTATGTTTTATCAATGTAATTCACCTATTATAAGCAATCATTAATAAAATCTAGTTCGTTTCATTATAGACAAACATGTCTCTTCTATTATTTATCTTTTTATAACCATCATTAATGAATTGGGCTTTCCTTTTATACTTATCGAAATACTTTTAAAAATTTATTATGATTTCGTAGTTTTACGCAAAAGTCAAACGTTCAGTAACGCACCTATTATAACTTTATTTTTCATGTTCGTATCCATTTAACGAAATCACTTGTCATACGGATGCATATGACAAGAAGACGTTATCGTTTTTATATATTCGGCTAATATGAAAATACGTACATGAAGGATAGCCTACTACAAATGGCCATTACTTCGAGGAAACATATCATGTGACCAAAACATTGGTCATAATAATTTATTTCATTTTAAGTTCCCAGAAATGGGGTAAATAATTATACTCACACAATAGAGTTTTATATATTTTGTCATAATACAGTAGTTCTATTTATTGCATGCTGGATTTGGTACCAAGCTTCGTAACAAAATTATTGGTGAGGAACTTCTATTAATGCAGAAATTCTCAGACTAAATGTAAAAAGTTAGAATTAAACGCTACAAGTTTTATGTTTAGAAAATTATAGAACAATTGAAGCAGACATATACATTCAAACATCTATTTAATGCTACCATTAGATCTATTCTGAACTTGCCAATTAATCCAACGTGGCTCACGTAATTATAAGTAAGGAAGTTCGAAAGATAAGTTTAGTGAAAAATGAGAATTCCGTTTATCAGACAAAATGGTACCCAGATATTTCAGGATTTCGTATTTAATATTCAGAGAAATATCTTTTTATAAATAGTAATTGGTACCTTACAAATAGTCTTTATAACTCCTCCTGTTTAGTTTATATTCTTCGTTTGTTCGGACAGAAAGTAAGCTCTACGCAACTTAATTTTCGAAGACTTTCGGGTGTAGAGGAAGGTACAATTAAATTTAACTCATTGAAGTCACTGAGACACACACACACATATACACTTAATTATATGAGTAACTCCCACTAAGTAAAAAANTTATAACAAAATCTGATAACAAATAGCGTCAGACAATTTTATTTTTGCTTAATAATATAAAAGTTTTTTAATAAAAACTCATAACAGCCGGAAAAGTTACACAACTCTCGTTGCTAGATTTTTAAATTAGTTACTCATTTTTATGACAGAAAACTTTTTACTGATGACAAAATTAAAATAAAAATATTTGTGATTAACCGAAAATTCGTTCTAGCGGGTCGTGATTGTTCGATCGAGTACCGAGGTACCACTGTGTTTGATTAACGCGATTTTGATATACGCGGTAGCATTGAAGGATTAAACTTGTAATTTAATACATATATTTATCATTATGTAATTAGTCTTATATCCTCTCTTTAGATTTCTCTTTATAGTTGTATGAAATGTGTAGCCTCTTCGGTTCACTATACATAATAGTTTATAGATCTATTATCATACTTTAATTAATTAGTATTTAATAAATATAATTTATGAGTTGTTACATTTTAATATATTTTGTTTTATAATAAGATAATAGGCGCGTATTTAGCCTTATTGAAGCCTTAAGCTATGATTTATAAAGGCCCTCCACTCCTTCTTTCAAATAAATTTAAAAGCATAAACAGGTTTTGAAGAAGATTCGGCCATTTTACCAGGCTTTCGCTAGGTAAATTATATTACTGTTTACATCTAATATAGTTCTATATCAGTGGCGTGCCGTGACATGTGATGATAGGGAAACTGTGTTTCTGTAAGAAGCCGACATTCAGGGGCAATCAGTCAATTGCCCATCAGTGATGGTATAGGGTCCATTCGTATCGTTTATTCGATAAGCAAGTAAAAACCGTAGACTTTTCTAAATGTATTTTTAATATCACAATTACATTCCGAATCACTAGCCACGATATAAGGGCTACAATTAAAAATAAAATAATAAAAACTTACTCGGTGAAATAAAATGTGTGGTGGATGTACCGGTACGTATCTGGTACAAAATATTCTTCAATTGTACGAATATCCTTTTAAAGAAAATTATAATTAAATATAGCTTTGTAAAGAAACGTACATAAAAATATAAAATATTTTTTACTTTTTAAATTTTAAAACAATGCACTTAGTCAAATAGCTCTCTACGAGTGGTTAATGGATGGAATCGAAGACGGTTGCGGAGCGTGCATACACGCGGACTGCCAAATCCTCAGGGTGCCGATACCGGTCAATGTCAAATACCTCTTTTGTCTCATCACTAGTATATCTCAAAGGACGCGACAGGGCAGTTGTAGATTTTAAACGTTTCTCAACATAGCTGTAAAAATCGAAATATGTTAAATTTAATAGTCATTTGTTTTCTAACTAATTCGCTTTAGGACCAAGTGTCCTCAGAAATTTCCAAAATTTACAACTTTTCGGTCACTCTCGTTGAACTGGAAAAATTTCTGTCTTTATTACATCTAATACTGTATTACGAAGAAATCAGTCTCCACTGTACTCAGCTAGAGATTGATTCGGTTAAGCTATTAGGTAAAATTTCAGCTCTTTCATCAGGATTTTGTTTATGTCCCCTATTCCCTAATCGCTTAATTATTTAACTACTACTTAAGTAGAAATAAGTCGAAACCAGTTACTTTGTAATCGAATATTTGTAGTCTCGAGAAAAAGTGGAAAGACAAATTTTTATGACAAACGAATACATAAATCGTAAATTTAAGGAAAATAAATTCTAGAGCTTTTTTTGTACCTTATGCATCTCATTCATTAAATTTAGTTGTAGATGATGCTGTCGAAGTAACGGTTAATTTTTTAACATTATACAAGAATTGTACACGCTTTTTCTACATCCCCTTAAAGATGGAATATACGAAATCGTAATTTCACTGGTTTAACATTGAAATCCGTGAGTAATATAAAATCGGAAAGCGGAATAAAAATATCAAATACTGTAGTTTAATGGATATTTTTTAACTCTTGTCAACTATACAGAACTATTATAAAAACATACCAGTAAATTCTTATCGGTTGGGTTAACTTATAAATCTACTCGCGATTCACGTAATCGGGCGAGGGCGGCCAAATATTTAGCTGGCAGGCGGCTAACGGCCCAGAACCGGTCCTGGATAGAATTGGATGCGTTATATGTGTTGCATCCACCCAAGGTCCTAGGCTTCCACCAGCTAAACAGGGTGAGGTTGATGCTCTGTAAAGCGCATGCGCGAATCTGGCTTTTTGGATTCTGTCAATACAGTAATTCCACTCCGCCACTAATGTTCGAATATACAATAGCAATCTTATTTTTTTTTCACGTATAGTATAGATATTTGTAATAAGATACATANTTCTTCGTTTGTTCGGACAGAAAGTAAGCTCTACGCAACTTAATTTTCGAAGACTTTCGGGTGTAGAGGAAGGTACAATTAAATTTAACTCATTGAAGTCACTGAGACACACACACACATATACACTTAATTATATGAGTAACTCCCACTAAGTAAAAAAGTCACTGACTGATTACATAAGAATAAGGGAATCGGAGTTGTCGATTGTCAGGAATTTATTTCTCCCCTTCCAAATGTTTAAAATAAATCTGAATACTTTTCGATCGAAAGAAAGTAGTGTGCGAACTTGCAAGATTTTTATAAAGTGGTTGCCGAAATATAAGCAATCGAATTGTGCAGAAATCGTTAAAAAATTGTATTTTCTTTTCTTTCCAGATCCGACGTTTCAGATCTAGAAAGCTCAAACTTTGAATTTAATTAAGCTCTTTTCTTTATCAGTGAGGTACTAGAAAAACTTTTGAGTTGATATGTCAAAGTTTACGTAGGTTTCCCATAGAAATATTTCAGTTTTATGGCTTAATTTTATTATCATAAAGATAAAATTGCATCGAAACAAATCAATTTTATTCAAATTATTACTGAGAATAAAAAAATCTCAATTTTTCCTCAATTCTGACTTAATTGTCAATAATTTCTTAAATAAAAATTATTTCTTTTGATTCAGTTTTATCGTTTTAAGCATAAAATGAAGCAATAAAATTTAAATAGTTCTATAGGAACAAAAGTGAAATTTGGTCTATCAAACCGAAAGTGATCAGTAAAAATATTGATGTATGAAATCTTTTCGTTATTTTCTTATTAAATATAAAATAACACTAATTCTAATTTTTATTTCTATAAAATTACAGAATGCGATGCTAATAGATTTTGAAGCATTTCAACTTATCGACAGTTGGCTTTAAAAACATAACACAGTCTTATAGAATCTGTAATAGACATTTATATAGAATCTGTTAAAAAGTATCAATTATCAACAAAAGATCAATGGCAAGTCAATCAATTTTACTACCAAAAAACTCGTGACTTAAATTTTACAGATAAAAAGATACCATCGGATATAGTAATTTAAAAAACTTATTAAATTATTTCACAACATATAATGAATTATTTTTATTTAAAGGTGGACAGATAGAAAAAAAAAATCCTTTTAAAAACTGGAACTACAATTATTTAGACATCAAACTTTTTGGGTTTCTAAGATTGGATAATATTAAATAATTGTTATTGCCGAAAATATTTTAAAAAACATTGTTCTTTTTGCGATATTCTGTCTTACGAACAATTCTTAATTAAACAAAAAACAGATATTTTCAAAATCAATACATTGTATAGGTAGGTATTTAATAAATAAGTAACAAATATAATTTAAATAATTATTATATTAAACTAGTTCCTATTTTATTTTGTCTTATTGTTATAATATTATCTCAAATTGTCGTGNTAGACTAATTTGACTCAACATTTCCAAAACACGTATAATTTTTTGGGAATAATCCGTATAAACTATGCTATAAACAAAAAATTGTAGGATTACTTACCGAGTGTGCACCGTTCGACGTCGCCATTGCTTAAGCTTATTTTCGTCGCGGAGCATCGCACCAAACGGCGGGCGCGTTTTCTGATAAGTTATTTTTCTGCGAAAACTTCGTTGAACTTTGGAGACATCATTAATAGAAATAA